AGAAGCAAAGACATAATCACATTTGTCAYGAAACAAATCTTTACTGTCTTCAAAGGGCTCCTGAGGTGTCTCATAACAATAACTGTATCATGAGCTTAGCACAAAGCACAAGCATTTGCTGCAGGGGTTTTGCACTCCAAAAGGGATRACTGGGTGCCAGCTGCCCATCACCTTAGTCACTGCCTTTGGAAATAGGTTCTGCCTTACAGCCCTGGAAAAGTGGGAGTGCTATTTTCGTAAATACTTTGTCTTTTTGTTGAAAATGAGAGAATGGGTAAGGCTGCTTTTAAGGAAATGTTAAGAACTGTGTACCTTAGAGGGAAGTTCCTGTTACCTACACTAGCACAGAGTGCTTCACCATGGATTCTATGTCAAGAATTAAACACCATAATCAATGTGTTATGAGGGAACACCTGTTATAGAGTGTCCTTTACACAGAAATTAAACACCAAACAGWTGTCCCTGTACAGCAGCAACAGAGCTACTGATATTTTCTTGCATTMGGTAGAATGAAACTAGTATCTTAGATGTCTGCTATGAAAGAAAAATGTAGAAGGAAATGTGGAAAAGGCTGATTTTTGGTTGGGAAAAAAAAAAAACAAACCCAGAAACAGATTTAATTGTATTATGCATTTCAGGGGCAGAATTGGAAGAGAAACTATGATCTAATGAACATGCTTTTGAAAATCAGTACCATTGATAAGACACAGAAATCAGTGTTTCATATCTGACATGAAGCTACTGGACAAAAAATGAATAAAGATGCTATATCTGTCCAGCTAAATGCTAGTAACAGGGAGATGGTTATTTCACTCAATTTTCATGAGGAAAAGTATTTTTCCCATATTCTTGTTGGAAATACATTTCTATGCATCCAGTTCAATTCCTGAATTAACTTTCAGATTTGTACATGTCACTACTGGAACTTGCTTTTTGCAGCTGTTGATGGGGTTTTTTAATGTATTCTTTTCAGAAGGCCAGAAGAGATCATTCAGAGAGAGTCAGAMACATTTTTACCTTTCTAGATATCCAGGAATGATAGCAACAGCCCATTAATGGCTTTTTTTTGATGCTTTAATTGTAATACAAGTGCAGCATATAAGCATCTAACCAAATTTTCATGGTTTTTTTGCTGCACAAAAGTTTCTGTTGTAGTACTTTTGACCATAGCCAAATGCACTTTACACTTTTCCAAGCATGTGACACAGTCAGTACTGAATTTTAATAATAAATGTAATAAACTGAAGTTTATTATATACTGCTACACAAAATATTTGACAAAAGTGTTTCTGAACTGGCCAGACCCCTCAAGAATACAGGAATAACATCATAGAATTAAATCAACCTGCTCACATTTAGCTGATTGCAAGTAACTTTTATTTCTCTGTTGTTTGTTTGTTTGTTTTTAAGAGTCCCAGGGTAAGGAGGGAAAGCCTTTATARTCTGCTATATTGAAATTAAAATTAAATGCATTGAGAACAGACTTCTGACAAAGTTTAAATAAGTAAAAATGTTGTAGCAAAAATAAAATAATTATTTTGAAGGTAATAGGCACCAGAAGCACACAGAAAAATTTTCATCTTGATAAAAGGGATAATTTCTTTTCAGTGAGAGCTATTGAGAGAGTGCCCATCACTGGAGGTTCTCGAGACACAGCTGGGAAGGGTGCTAGAAAATTGGCTTCCTTTTCCACAAAAGGTRGGACTGGGTGATGTTTTGAGGTCCCCATCAACCTGGAGTGCTTTGTGATCTGTGAACATCACATAAAAAAAAGAGATGTAATTCACACTGCCTAGGAACCACAAAAATAGTGGCCTTTTGTAAAGTCATAGGTTTTAAGGATTCCTTTTTTCTTACCCAGCCTGACTTGTACTCAAGTCCTTGGTGCCTTCAGGAAGGCCCTGTTTTAATAGGTGTACTGGGTTTGATTGCACACACAGAAAGGGTTTCTCAGCTCTCTCCTTATAATCTGGGGATAACCCAACTTTATGAAAGACAGAGTGAAGGCACATCTATAGACAGGYAATAAAGAAGGGCAATTAGAAGAAAAATCCTGACCACCTTTAAAATCTTAGTTCCACTGCTTGAGAAGCAGGAGATGGATAGCTGAGAACCCATTTCCCTTTTAGCATTACCTGCAGTRTTCAGCCTCTGCCCATGGCAGAGCACAGGCCTCTCTGGTCTGCAGGACAGACAGGCACAATTCCTGGTGCAGGACAGCTGAGTGCAGAGATAGAGAGGTTTAACTCGCTGCCATGTACAGGAAGAGCAGGGAATGTCCTGAGAACTTTTGTGTGCAAGACGAGCCCCAAGTAAAGCCCCCTTCAGTGGAAGACAGCAAGCAAAGAAGCACGAGTGAAACTGATTTCTACTCTGTTTGCTCAGCTGCAATAGAAGTTGTGTATGAAAGGAACACTGGTCTGTATTCTTTGGGGGTTCCAAAGCCTTGGGCACTTGGGCTTGCTCATGAGCATTCTATACACAACATTCTTGCGTTTTGCTTGCTTTTTTTAGTTTTTGTGAGTACCCACCTAGTCAGAGCTAGGGCCTAAGGAGGAYTGTTATGCAGTGACACACCTGAGCCACTTACAGCCTCCTACCCTCATAGAACAAGATAATTAGTAACAGCCCAACAAATCAACAAATCCCACCCTTAAAATCTGTAGGAGCCATAACCCAGGTGACTCCTYATAAGGCTTTCTGCTATTGTGGAAGTGAGTGAGGGTCTAGCACAGAACGTTTGTTTGACAAAGCAGTGGATTGGTGTTTCATTTCCCTGAAGGGATTCCTCAAGTGAAGGCAGTCATAGTCATCCTCATCCTCATGCAAAAACAGTTTAAACCAGAGTCTGCATAAAACGAAGTAGTCATAAGAAACTGAATTGCTGACTTTTTATGCCTCAGGAGACAAAGGGTTTTGCTGTTCTGAGCTGAAAACAAAGGCTGTCATGCCTCTGGCATGCATGCCTCAAGCAGCAATTTAGGACTCCTTTAGGATCAAGCAGCATAGAAGTATTACCCAGGTATGTTAGAAATGGAGATGTACACATGGTATGGCAGGATTGTAAGCAATTTTTCGCCTGGTGTAAAAGGACATGGACCTTTTAAAGAATTCAAGGGCTAAAAATTTTGTATATAGTGGTATATWTCAAGAAAGCAAAAGAGTATCCAGAAGTAAACCGATAAAAAGACTGGAMATGGAATTGGAGGCCCATCTTGGGAACTGTACTCCAGCCAATGGTTATTGAAATAGCTGGGTTTGAAWTTCCACATTTTAAGTATTTTTTCAGTGTGTCTAAGATTAAAAACACAGATGGGGGTTGCTAGTGTTTTATTTTAAGACTATCTAGGCCACTTCTTGAGCCATTGAAGCATCACCTTTCTTGTTTTTAAATGACGTTGGAATATGTTGCTTATTCTGATCTACAGTGCACAGAAAGTCCAGTATTTTGAGGAATACCCTTTTGAATGTAAACTAACATTCTGTGTTAAATATTAACTTTTAGCAACAGTAACCAGCATTAGCATTGTTGAACAGCAGTCAAACCCTGGCATTCCATGATCTTTAGCAGTATAGGGGKACTACAGAAAACTCTTAACTGTAGCACCAGCAAAAAAGCTTGTTTTGCAGCTTGTTAACAATTAACACTGTTTTAATAGGCATCGTAATCTAAGGCTTAGGACTTCAAAGACAATCAACTGTACTACATCAATATCCTATTACTTTTTATAGTGTATATAAGAAATCCAGGATATAAAAAAAAGCACTAAAGCCATCTCCAGGTTTTAAACTCACCTCTGGTAACAGGGATGCCAGGGCAGGTAAATTAGATTTAGTTTTGTTCCCATAAGGTCGAACTGAAGCTGTGTTTTACAATGTCTATATGTAATATACTCCATAATCTATGAGGAAATAGACCTKTGAGTGGAACACACTGCCTGGTGTGAATGCCAGGGGGAAGCAATAAGCAGTTGGCTGGCAGTACCTTAAAAGGACCTGGGAAACGTTTCTCATTGATGGCTCTTCTTCAATAATGACATTCTTGGGTCTGGTCCAAGTCTTGAAATACCTTTYAAAATCCACATGCTTTGTTAAGATACCGTGCTGGGCATTCTTGACTCGAATRTTGAACCCTGGAACATGTGACTGTTTTGAAAGACTTAACAGTACAGTTCAGAGAGGGCCTGGGGCAACTTGGGAGATGTTGCTATAAAACCCCAGTAGTGATTATCTTCTAAAAGAGCAGCAGCTTATATAGGAAGGTCAAGGCTTCCCTGTTGGACAATCACATCCATCTCCCAGGAATTAGATGTACCATATCACACAATGTAATATCTTTCCAGGGCATTAGTGAAACCAGAGGATAGCTGCATTTTTCTGTCCTCTAGGAGATTCCAGTTACCTGGAAGATCATTTTTGCTTATTTTGCTGGAAAAGAAGCAAATATGGACAGAGTTATATTGCTCCTTTTCTCCAGATCTAAACAGAAATTCTGTTTAGTATTGTTGTTCTGCACTACATGTCAGATAGTAAAGTAAGCTAGTGCTGAGGCTGGTTTTGAGGAAAAAGCCCCAACCACACCCTCTGATTTGCAGCAAATAAAACCTGGACTGTTTCCAGCAGCTGGAAATTGGCACAGTAAATGATTCCCATAAGCTTGCTCTGCCAGGCAGGTAACAAAAAGAGACATGTGTAGATGTGTTCACAAACTCTTTTGTCCATTTAGTCAGAAGATAAATTCAGATTTTCTGGCTATTTCTCTTGCCTTGGCTAGGTCAGTCCAGCCTGAAGCAGAGGCAGACTGATAACAGGGACCAGATTTATGCCTGCCCCTTTCCAGTGCAGAAACCTACTGACTTTTTGGGTAAACCCCCTGCAGTCCTATTGGTAATTAACAAATACACTTCTACACATGATAATGGTTATTAGTGCTAAGACCAGGAAAGAAAAATTAGACGACTAAGTGCAAAATAGAAGTATAAAATTTATTTAAAACCACCCACAAAGTTCTGTGTGATCAGGAATGATACAATTTGTAATAGTCTTTTTAAAAACTCATGACAAGATTTAAAATATATTTTCAATTACAGTATTCATTTAGCCTTATTCAGTTAGGACAATAATAAAAAAGAAAGTTTACGTTCTAAACAGATGAGACACACAAGAAAAATAGAACAGAACAGACAATTTCCACAACGACAATTTTTACATGTATGTTTCAATACTAGTATCAACATTTCAATGCATCTTGCTACATAAACATGAAATCATGTACAACTGCTTGCACCAAAAAACATAGCTTAGTTAGATCTTTCAAGTAACATGCAGTCACAACTCACAAGTCTTCAAGTACTGCTGGTAAGGGTTCCCTTGTCTGCAAAGATTTTAAGGTTCAGTTTCTCAGCTGGCATAACTCTGCCCAGCTCCACCAGTCTCAGGGAGCGATGCTCAGTTATACTAGGAAAGAATCAGGCCCCAAATGTTTTTGAGAAAAGAAGTAATTTTTATATTTTCTCCTGTAAATACTGTGACATAATGAAGTGCTTTTTCTTTCTGATTTTTTTCTCCCTGTATATAATCTTTTGCTTTAAAATGTTTAAAATTTTATGTTCCAGATTTCAATACAGTAGGTTGGTAACTGGAAATAAAACCTCAAATTCAAAGTYGAAAAATAAGTATCAAATGCATCCCAAGGAAAGAAAGAAGGAGAGAAAAGGAGAAGGAAAAAAACCACATGACCCTTTTTTCTTTTGCTTTGGCGTATTGTTAATCTTTTATCTTCCTAAAACAGGAAGGAATTAATTAGCCATAGCATTTCAGTACAGTGTGTCCTTACATATTTATGTTTCCTAATGACAGCTAATTCTGATCAGTACTTGTGACCTGGCGTGATATTGTCACATTATGAAGAGCTGTATCTTCCAAACTGAAGAAATAATTGTAGAGTAATTCACCGGTGAAGACTGAAATGTATGAATGTTTGCATTGGTTAGAACTGGCTTTCTTTTAGCAGTACTGGGATGTCTCATTTGTTCTTCTTGACTACAATTATTTTTTCATTTAGAGGACAAGAGACCGATGAAGTTCAGCTGCTGCCTTTTGAGTGGCATGGATTAGACAGGCATTCACAAARTTGGCATAATATATGTTCTAATTAGGCTCTGCAGTATCACTGCAGTGTAAAACTTTAAGAAGGAAAGTGTAYTTCCTTTTCCTTAAACTTTTTTTTGAATGAGAAGTTTGCATTGCATTGCATAACTGCAATGAAGTGGGGCTGTTGTTTAYATAAAACTTCCACGGGCAGCAAGGGGAGCTCTGCAGGACTCAGGCATGCAGAGCAATGCCAGGGTTTTCCCTGGCAAGTAGCACCATAGTCAGGGAAGGCAGAAAGTGTTGGCTTTTAGCTTTATGTCCCCAAACTCACCAGAGTGTGGTAACTGCACACTCTGTTGGGTGTGAAGTCAGGACAGAAGGGAGTTCAGTAGATTGTCACAACCCCAGTTTATTAATCAAGTAAAAGGGATCCAAGTTATGATAAAGGGAAGCAAATATTTTAAGAAACACTACCAAAGCTTAAAAATAGTATTTCTGAAAATTTTCTGAGATTTCTGAGCTGGCCATTACCTAGAAGTACAAATTTTTTACCATATTGTTGCTGTAGACAGCATTGGGCAAAGGCTAGCCAATATATGCAATTACCTAAAACCTGGTAAAACCCAAGCTGGTCTCTTTTTAACCTGTATTTCTAAACTAAGAACAATCTGGATGTTACTGGCCAGTTTGTGCACAGTAGGCATACCATGAAATTTATTTCAGATGATTGTACAAATTAGTCATTTGGTAATTGTTTTGATTTATACTACTGACCTTTTATACTCTGATCAGTGTGATGGCATACTCCGAAGGATGTAAGTTAAAGTGACATCCATTTAAGGCCTCTTTATCCTTTCAAAGCAATATAAAGGACAGTAGTATGTATAAATGAGAATCAGGGCCTCCATTCTTACTTTAAGACAACTCCCAAACCCTAGACCCTTTTCCATTACAATATAATAAAAATACAGATATACATGTAAAATATTGATCAGGTCACAAAACTTTCCACGACAGCATTAAAACGTTCTGTGGCAACAACTGCACTACTGAACATCAAAATTAGCAGTTTCCTTGCTCCACTGCAACAGCACCTCTTTGGAACACAGTTCATCTGCTGTAACTGGTAACTCTGTGGATTAAGTGCCAAACCTGTCCTCCCTAAAAAATACATCTTGAAGTGTACACCTGCATTCTGTGACTCTATGAGGAATGTGTGTATGGTGTGCAAAATGTTGAAAACAGCACCATTGATCAGTCAGCCCAGAGCAAGTCACCTTCACATTGTTTAGCACCTGTCTTGCTTTCAMTGCAAGTATGCTGTTGGAAGATTCTAGCATTTGAATATAAGTGTGTGTGTGGAAAAATGCCATATAAAACAACCCAGTAGAAGAAGAAAGGAAAATACTCTCTCTGGAAGAATTAAGGGTGCAGCATCAAGATGCATCTTGCATCTTTTGAAACTGAAGCTAGCAGTACATGGCTAAACACCATAAGCAATTATTGGGGTGATGGGGGAACTGGATTGCAAAAAGAATCCTAAAGTCTTTATGTCTCAGAAAGTCATAAAGAAATAGTGATGATGACACCTCAATACCCTTTAATAGGTAGTAACTACTTAATTATTTTCTGCTCAAGCTCCTTCAATTCCATTTTTTGCCACAGAGGAAGAACATTTTTTTCCAAGCAGTTCTATGTTAGTTCAGGCATTTAACTTACATAATTTTTGGGTATCTCACAAAGACTGTAACTCATCTGACCAGAAGATGTAAAGAAACACTCCTGCTTTTGCAATCATGCAAGGGTTGCAGCAGCTGTCTTATGTCAGGAACTGAGCAGAGCTGTTAAGAGTACTCAAAAGACAGGCCATTCCACAGAAATGCTACCAACATGAAAAAATCCTGTATTTTGAGAAGGGATGACTTGTCATTCTCAGCAGGTGATTGGTTTTCTAGTTTTGCAAAGTCTCTTTTGTTTGGCTACTTACAGATATAAGAACAGATTGTAACAACTACAGAAAAAAAATCTGAAAATTTATCAGAAAACATTATTTGATTAAAATAAAAAAGAAAACAGTGATTGTGATAGATAATGAACTGTTCCTCTTCACTGGAATTAAAAAAAAAATCCCACTTGCAATGTTTTAGGCTCTATATGAGAGAACATAAAGTAAAAGCCCTAGAACTGTCACACATAGAATATATGATCAYGGAATCACAGACTGGTGTGGGCTGTAAGGGACCTTAAAGTTCACCTTCTTCCAAGCCCTTGCCATGGAGAGGGACACCTTCCACTAGACCAGATTGCTTCAAGCCCCATCCARCCTGGCCTGGGACACTTCAGGGATGGGGCACATCCATAAGCTCTCTGGGCAGCCCATTCCAGGTGACTGAAAGAAGTGGATTTTAGAGGGAGTCCCAAGGAAAATAGCTTCATGTGACATTCATGAGATGAAGATGGCTGATTTCCTYACAAAGCAGGACAGTGTGCAGGGAGACTCAAGGGCAGGCTGACAGCTGTGCTGCTTAGGCTGAATGCTGAAGCAGATCTGCAAAGGGAAGAACCTTTGGAGCAGTTACACGCATTGAAAGCATCCAGCAGCAGATGACAGCTAGACAGTTAGAGCCAGCACTAACTGTGACCATAGCTAACCACAGCAGATGATCCAGAAAGACCAAGGAGTGAGAAAGGTGGCTGGAGTGTCACCTGTACTGAGTAGGAAGTGATACCTACTAACCAACACTAGCCAAATTAAATGTTCYGCGGGGAGACAACACAGCATCGTGTAGAACTAAGTCTTCATAATTCAGTCAAGTATGTGACAGTATTAAAGTTTTGCCTATTCTCTGAAAGAACCAAAAATGTTTTAACAGGGAAGTAACACAGCATATTTTCAACCACTCCTTAGAAGAAGTAATCCGTACATATCCTGGTGCCWGATCAAGCTCTCCTTTTAGAAATCCTTCGTCTTTTGGGAAACCTCAAATGTAAAACCCTTTCCCCTACAATTTTGTAGCAAGCAGCATGTAGACACCTTATGAAGAATGACTGAACATCAGGTAATCCCAGAAGAGACTGAAACCACTTCCTGAACTGTTTCAGTAATTAGCCACATCCTCAGGACTTGATACTGGTCACTATTATAGACTCAAGGGTAAAAGTGTCACAGACTAAATAAAATATGCTACTGAGTTGAAAGTCAGATGGACCAAAAGAAGTGTTAATTTAAAGGAGTACCCTGGCAACCACATGCATATAGTAGGTTCACTCAAAAACCAATTGCACCTTCACAATTTTGCCTGTGACTTACTTATGCTGTGCAGAGAATCATTAAGGCTGGAAAAGACCTTAAAAGCCATCAAGGCGAGCCAGCATCCCATCAGCTTTCTGTATTCTCTATCTTGATGCTGGGAAGGGGCAGCAGGCTGGTGATGACAGYAGTGCTTGCTACATTGTTTGTCTAGGCAGACTAAGAAAGAGTGATCTCTCTCTCTCCTGGGCTTTTTTTTTTTTAAACCAGTATATGCAGGCAGAGACCAAAGGAGAGATTGCTGTCTGTGGAGGAACTGTGGAAAGGGGTGAATTTGTACACAATAYCCACAAACATCTTACTGGTTAGAACAGTGCTGTGACACAGACATTGTAGTGCAGTACCATGATGTCACAATAGTCAATGGGACAATATTCCTTCCACACATACTCCTGCAGGTCAGATCAACATCTGATAAAATAAAGCCAGAATTCCCAAATATGATTGGACTGTTCCTCATCTTTAATTGTTATTTAAGATCAGATCATCACAGGTCACGTATTGGCAGACAGCTTTCACACAAGAAATGAAACWCAATTTTATGGAGTAGAGGTCACAAAGACCCTGATCTAAATTTTAGTGATTACAAGACTGAAAAAGTTTGTCCCACACTGCTTGAATGTAACTGCTGTTAACATACACAAAGCATGAAAGTGGCCATGCAATTGAGCTTTTCATATGTCTCAGGGCATAGCTATTTCCTTCTGATAACCTAGAAATTGGAGGATTTCTATGGAAAAGAAAACCACTACATATATCAATGGATGATCAAAGCTGATGATTGCTTGATAAATTGAGTTAATTTCAGCATGAGAGAAGTTGCATGGGAAGTGTAAGAGCGAGACTGACCTCTGAGTTGGTACAGAATTTGCTCAACTGTTGTCCATATCCATCCAGTTAAATATGGAAATGGCAGGAAAACTCAATGAATGAGCACCTGGCAGTCAGCAGGGCTGYAGCAGTGTGAGCAGGACCCAAATCTAACCCACCGAATTTAGTCAATGCTCCAATAAAATGAAAAAGGTCTTTAAAAAACTCCAGTTATGTGTTACAAAGAATCTTAAGTACTAGACAAGTTGTCATTTACCCATGCTTAACATAAAATGTTGCTCAAGATATTACAGTTATTTCCTGTTCTACTCTAGAGAAGCACTGCCATAGGTAAGACAAGGATGTTAACCAGCAGTTAAGATTCTTAAGTTAGCCTAGAAACTCCTTAAAAAAATCTGAAKACAACTGTTACAGGTTGGAAATTTCAAGTATTTGTTAAGTCGTTATAAAGCTTCTTGAATCTTGTGACTGAAGTATTTACAGAAATACTCCTTTCTATTTCCTGCAATACAATAGCATGTGAAAAATCAGTAAATTCACTGTGTAATTGGACACAACTGCACTGACTGCCACAGGGACTCAAACAGAACCGGCTCCTGCAATAAGCACTGCTTTTCCCCTCCATAGGGGAGGTGGAGTCGTGATACCGGATTCAGTAGACGAAGGGATGAGACACATTTCTTCTGGGAAGTCAGAGGTGTCCTATATTGGATCATGACAGTTTTTGCTAGCACACTGTAAAAAATGATCCAAAGACAAGCACACCCCACTACCAGCCCACACAGGAATCCACGTGCTGGTTTTCCACCCAGAACATTGTGCTAGCTGATGGAAACCAAGTAAAACATGCAGGTGTGACCTAGCTAGCTAGCTACCTTAATTTTAGATGTAGCTCCTGGTCTGGYTATCCCAGTAGGAATTAGTTAAGACATAAGAGCAAATTACAAGTGGTTATGTGGGCAGCAAAGGAAAGAACAGACCCACAGAGTTGAAGATTTTAAGAGATAAATACTGTTATAAAATGATAACCKTACTGAAAACCATGCAGTTTGTGTACAAGACTGATAAATATTCTGAAGTGTTACAAGAAATAGCACAGAGTTTTAAAACCAGTAAATAGCTGCATTTTCTATACTGCAGTACAACAATAGAAAGCACCAGTTTCTCAAATCACAACCTGCTACATGTCCAGCAGGAAGTGGAAGTGGCCAACCTGCCTGGTAGGAGATGTTGAAAAAGCAGTGATAGACAGGGAAAGAGCACCGTGGGTGATATGTTATTGTATAGATGATATATTCCTCTCATGTAAGTAGTATTAATGAACTAGTAACTGTGAGTTTAGCACCTATCAGTWAATAGCATTAGTTATGTTAAGATACACGTTTCATTGTTAGAATTGCCATTTCAAAAAAAGGTAGACCTAGACCTGGGCTACCCGTTTGAAGGGATCCTTTCAGATCCACCTTTCAGTGCCTCAATTCTTAGAGGGAAGCTGCTGGTTTTTCAATGGAACATTTTTATCTGAAGTTTCTGATAAGTTAAATATGGGCATTTATAGAAGATCCAAGTAAAAATGATCCACTTTAATGGTATGAACATTGTAAAAGGTAAAGAGATGGTTCTGTAACTTATTAATTTTGTGTAGAAAGTTTATCACATGGGAGTGCTCAATTACAGCATTACAGTGACTGAAGCTGTCAGGGCTATCAATKAAACCAATAAATGAATCTGTACATGGTGTGGGACAAATACATGACTGGAACATCTAGGGAATGTACAGTACTACTGACTGTATGGACAGCTGCAACTCCTACTAATCTTCAGCTCACCAAAAATATACAAGTTTTAAAATGGAAATCTAAGGCACACAAAATACCATAATGATTTGATGTATACTGTATATTACATAGTCAATAAGCATAAAACTGCTGGTACAAAACAATGGCATAATATTGGTTCTGTTTTACCATTATTTACAATCCCTTCATATCCTCTCTATTTGAACTAATATTAAGCTTTCAACTAAAATTTGCAGCATACCCGGTTTTTACAAGTTTTACTTAAAATAGGTAAGATACAAGGAACTGGTTCAATTCCTCCATCCTCTGCCATCAATAGCTTTGTTAATTTGAACAGGAGTCTGTAGAATTGAATCCAAGATCATTACATAGTGATTGCTRCTTCAGACCTGGCTCCTACAAACACTGCACATGGTTCCAGGAGAACAATCTCATGGATCTACAGCCGCACCAAAGGAATGGTAGCACCAAGGTCCTGACTGGCACTATGTATTCAAAACACCAWTGATGTACTTTTCGTACCGAAACTGTAAATAGAGTTCTTGCACTTGAGCTTTTCAAGGAGAAAGCACCTTATCTGAGTTTTAAATAAAAGCAGATCTAGATAGTTCATATTCCTCTATACAGCACCACTACAGTATAATATTATCAAGTATATTATTAGTATGTTTTCACACTGGAAAAGTTACTTCCTTCTGCCTACAGGTTCCCCAGCTGGGGCGGGCACCAAGGCAGAAGGAAGGGACAGYTTTGTGGGCCTGATCCTGCAGTGTTCAGACCCCAGGGGAGTCCTGGCATCGCCGCTCCTCCTGGCTCCGATGGGCTCGCATGGAAGAAGTTGCAGGACAAGGTCAGTCCTTAGCTAATGTCATTTGGTAATTTGTTTAAATAAATAAGTTTAAACAAGAAATACATAGGAGAGGAGAATCAGAAAGAAGAGTGGGATGCTACAGTATTTAAAAGAAATGGAGTGTCTGTTTTTCCTCTGGTTTAGCAAATACTTTTTTCATCATATGTCACTTTCTCAACAGAAATGAAGAATATAAATTTTAAGGAAGGATACAACCCTTTCCATGTGAAATGTATAAATTGCTCTAAAAATTTACAAAATATTTTTGTAAAAAAACTGAACTCAAAGCTGGCGAATATTCCAGATAGGTTATTCTTAAAAAAAATGCTGTTCAATAGTAGAAATTTGGTAGTTTTCCAACACTTCCTTTGTTTTTTTCCCAAATTATTTTTTTATCAGAATAGAGTAAGGCAACTCTAGGGGGTATTTTTTTATCCCAAAACAATCATACCCCTGAGGCATTAGGAACATTTGGTTGCCATATTAACTTAGAATGCTGCAAACAAATGAGACTGATGCACTTATCACTCAAAGAAACCATAACAAATGCCTTTAAAAAACCAAGTAACATTTGTAACTCCCAATAGCAACACACGTATTGACCAGACATCTCCTCATTTCATGTTTGTACACTCTCTTGAAAAAGAATAAAAAGGTTCTGTAATTGGTAACTGTTGTTTATATGCAACATAAAATCTTCAATGAAAAAGGGCAAGTTAAGAAAAACCACATATGCTATCAGCATACATCCTGTAGCTGTAACACTATGGAACTCTACACAGCAAGAATAAAATCATTTCTTCTGTAGAGTATGCACAAACCTTAGACAATATGATCCTTATACTATACTATTTCAAGTTAATTTTAAAAATAGAAAGTGCTTTTAAAATATATATTTACAGCTTAAAAACAACTTCCAGCCATCATTACCAATAACTTCATTCTATACATAACGACAAATCTAAAGAACAAAATTAATTGGTTTTCTAAAAGATTTATCTGTGATTTGGACTATATAGCAATGGTTGGAAGTTGTTAAAGCAATGGCACCATGAAGTAATAATTCAGCTTATTTATTTTAAACTGTTTGATGTGGTTAAGCACCAAGAGCTGTGTAGAGCTATAACTGTATAACTTGATTTAACACCATAAAATGTGAACCTGTTAAAATCCCTATAAATGATTTTTGTAGTAAACAGACGATTTAAAGCACCAAAATATAAATTCCTAAAGGTAATAAACTGAATGATTCAATCAAGGTTAATAACCTAAAGAAAATCTTTTTTAGAATGTATTAAAACTATACAATTTTTTTTTTTTGCTTAAAATGTGCTTGAGCACCACCAAATGGTAAAGTCACAGTTTAAGAAGAAATCCCCCCCTTTTTTTTGTTTTTACCTCAGCCTTAAAATGGTTGAGATGAGCAAATAGTAAACGACGCGAGACTTGTTCTTTAACAGCACCGTAAAGAAATACGCTGCACCAGGAGGGGCACACCACACTGACACCTATGCCCAATGGTTGTAGGGCCCTGCCACTCGTGTCAGGGCRTACGAAGATACTGTGATTACGTTATCCTTGGTTACTGTTAATGCTCTCCGGGATGGAATTTGGTTGAACTCGTTGTCTTCATAAAAAATATCTCTGTTTTCACTTGGTTGCTTTGCTCTCCTGTTGCTAGAGTTCAGTTCAGGATTCTCCGTTCCTAATCGCTCTGTTTCTTTTTCCTTTTCTTTTGCCCTCTCGGCCATCTTTGCTTCCCACATGGCTAAACCATGTTTTGGCTCATTTAAATTTTTGTGTTGGTAAAAAACTAAAGAAATTCTTGTGGGATGATTGCGGTTGGGTTTTTTAATTGGTGTGGTAGCGTGGAGTTCACGTCTTGCACATTCAATTAAGATAGAACCATGAGAAGGYGCCACAGCAACCCCACCAATGTCATCATCCAAAAAATTGTGCTCGCTGTCTGACCACAATTCCTCAGCCTTTTCTTCAGAATCAGCCGGTTGTCCCAGTGCACTGTTTTGCTTTTCATCAACACAGTCAAAATCACATACCTGTCCTCGATGGGAGCCACCCTTTTCCATTGGGCATCCATGGGAACAGTCAGCTTCGTTTCCGACGGCATCCTTTGCCGAAGAGCTTAGCGGTACTGATGAGTCACAAGAGCTGATCATCTCTGACGAAACAGAATTGTCCAACTGAAGCTGACAATTCTGTTTGTCTGGCTGATGTTCAAGTATAGTGGGCAGGGGGTCTTTGTGAGCTGGGGGGCCTGGAGCAGTGACCTCAGGAAGAATCGGTGGCACACCATTCACCTTATCGTTCAGCAGAATTCCAGTATAATCTTTGACCGACACATCAAAGTTCTTGCAATTAACATAAGGTGTCACGTGAGGTTGCTTGGTACTGCACTCAAAATACCCGTAGGGAACTGAAAAATCTTGTTGAATATTAGTCACTGCTGTTAGGCCAGGCTTATGTGCGAGAGATGGATAAGGATGTAAACTATCCACCTTGAAGGGRGAGGAAGCYGTGTACTGTTTTAATAAAGAGCAATTTTTAGTAGTGTTTGAAGTATGTTTCATGGCGTAGAGGTGGTTGGAAGTCTCCATTTTTATTCCAGGTTTTAAAGCATCTGTTTTGTTCCCTAGAAGAAATGCAAACCAAAATGTTAGTACTTCCCACTTAATTAATAAAATACTCTCTTATATTTTCATACTTGTGTTCTAACATGAAAAACGCACATGATGACTAGAAATTTTTCAAAATGGTTTGTTTTTACCTTTCTAGGAGTATCTCTATAACTGTAAGTATATATATGTAATAACCTTGCTCAATTAACACCTTAACCTTTTCTAATCGGGCTGCTAGTACATAAAATAGAAAGGTATATAAAATAGAAAGGTATTTCACAGAGGGATGAAGAAAATAAACATATAAAATGAAATAACCACTGAATCCCGATTCACACAGCCCAGTCCTAYGGAAATGCTTCCCAGCAGCTAACTGCTGGCCTTCATTTTTTACATAAYTGATGAAATTCAGTCTGAAGTTCAGCCTGTGAATCAGTCAAAAGTGTGAGCTGCCTTAACCCCACATTATKATCAAAGGAAAAAGCATGCTTATGGATCTTGTCCCTCACAGCAAAAACAGTTACTGAATTACAATGATTCATGCATTCCAATATTGACTGCAAAATTGCCTTTTAAGAAAAAGTATCTGGCAACATGCTCCAGGTAAATCCATCTTTCCATCTAATTGCCTCACATTAATTATTTCAGATCTCTGTTGCAGACATCCTTGTTCAGTTTCTGTCAGCTCCCAAATCAATTTCTAGCCATGGCTGCCTGCTGCTGGGCTTGGGTTGGGGAACAGGCTCCTCACATGATTGATTCTTGTCATGGATAGCATCAACCCAGAGTCCACAGGAGTAACAGGAATGAATTCCATCAACTTTGATGGGCTTTGCATCATGCCCTGCAATGGCTTTACATGTGTTTTGCTGGCAAACTGGCAACCCAYAGGCAGCTCTTGCTTACTCTCATTAAAGACTGTATCTTGACAGTGTTTCTTCTTTATTCCACAAATACACAGATTGGTTAATTGCTTTATCCAGTGTAGAAGCACTGTTCTTCTACTGTCTCCTAGTAATTTATAAATAAATGATGAATTAAAAATGTCCCTCCCATAGGAATGCAAAAAAGTCAAAGTGGAATAAATGACATGCACAATAGTTAGTATGGGAAAACTGAAAGCTCCAGGGGACATTGGGAGGCTGCATCAACTCTTTAAAAACCTGTTCTGTGAAATCAAACACAAAGCACTTAATGACATTAAGAACAGACTCCCCCAACCAAGGCCTTTGCCTGAAAGATTTTAAACACAGCATTTGAGAAATGCATTTTACATCACCACAGAAGAGACTTGCATTCTGTGAAAATAAATTTTAAGAACCAACAGCACTCAATTACAAAAGTATAGCAAACAGATTTTTATTTTAGAAACGTTATGCCCCCAAAATGCAGACATTCTTCTAAATACATTTAACTGTTMTTCATCCCCTTAAATCTGTTACATAGGTCTGGATGTCTCTCATTAAATAAAATTCAAAATTACAGCAGATAGGCTAATTTTCATCTCTTCTTCCCCAAGGTCATAGGCTGTGCTTTACTTTTATTTATCACCCACTAATCAGAGAAAGTAAGTTCATGTCTTCTTCCATCCCTTCTTTGCTACTACTCATTACTGCCCAGTCCCACACAACAGGCCTAACCTATGGAGGACTGACCCAAAATCTGCACTAGGAACCACAGTGTGGACCAGAAGTGCCCCAGGCCCAGACACAGCTCTGTGCTGCCCAGACCGGGGTTGTGGCAGAGGAATGACCACGGCCTCCCTGTCACCCACTGCTGACAGACTCCACTGTCCTGCTCCTTGCTAACAGTCCCACAAGGGACAATTTGCACTATTATTTGATAAACCCYGGCGGATTTTGCAAATCTCTTGCTTGCAGCAGTGTCCATGCCTTTGATAGGAAATTATCACAGCTCAGATCTGAGAAAGCTGTTACCTGCCATAGGAAGTGGAGAACACAGTTTTTGTACTTGAAAGTGACAGAAATTGAAGTTGCTTATTTAGGTAAACATTACAACAATGGTCTTTCAAGATGKTCAAACTGTCATTATTTATTAGAATAAAAGAACTTGGAAATCTTTCACAGGTGTTCACATGCAACCTATTTTTGAGTGATCACCTGTTTTTTTTSCTTCAACAAGAGACAAGTGACTTACTTGTTAGCCCCTAAAATGCAGAATATACAAGTACTTTATTTTAAAGGAGCTTTTCCCTCTCATCAGATGTGTAAGAGAACACAGAATCAGAACAGACTGGCAGAATTTCTTAAGTCACTCACCTAAACAATGCAAAGTGTTGCCAAGATTTTCTGGGGCTTCAGTTTTCAGTTTTACTGGTGTTGAATACTTTTTATCTGTTAATGGCTGCTTTTCAGTTGGGGTCCTTCTTGTGTCTGGTTTCTTTTTCTTGGTAGCTCTGAGAGGCTCAGCCAACATTCGCACTTCTCTGGGGAAYGCTGTGAGCACCTGTATGGCTCCGGCTTTAATCTTGGCTTCCAGGCCCTCTTCAGTGCCGAACTCATCTGTTTGTGAGATTTTGTAAAGGGGCAGCACATGGAGCTGTTCATCGCTTGGAATCACCCCCACTCTCCGGTTATCTTCCTTCGTTAACGTACAGACCTGGCAGGAACAGACCCAGTTACAAATAGCCACACACACAAAACACAAGGTACAGAAATACTCAGTCATCCTAAGCTTCATAGTTTACTTGTATTTTATGGCCTCAATGCTATGGGGCTTTCAAATGCAAACATCTGACAAATATTTGATCTATGATGACACAGAAAAATTATTGGTACTTTAAGGTCAAGGCACATATCTTGGACAGCAAAGTGAAATTTTGGCTCAGCTTACAGTATGTGCAAATATATGCCAACCTTGGTAAATAATCTCAGCTGTAAATATCCTGTAARTTCCTATGCATTTTGATTATTTTTTAATGCATAAATACATCTTTGATGTTCAGATTCATTTTTAAGGATTACACAATAGAGAAAATTATTTTTGCATTGAACAAGAARTTTCTAAGATCTGGAATTGGTTCTATGATTTGGAATTGGTTTTAGTTTTTCTTTTGGCTGCCRAATTAAGAAAAACCCCAAACCACCACAGTCACTCACACTGCTCTATATTTTTAGCAAAACTCAGCTGTAACTCCCTCCCTCTCTCAACACTCTTAAATTAACACCCTGTTGTAATTAACTCACAAGATCCAGGGAATGTTCTCTTAGGCCACTGCCCTACTTCCTGTTATTTTGTGCTGTGAGATCCTAGAGGCCAGAGGAGAGTGCTGATTACATCCAGTTTGATAAGGGCACATCAGAAAAGGTAAATAAATATTCAAACTTACTGCAATGGTTTTCTTATCAGAATTATAAATCCCGAACCTTTCTAACACTTTCAGTTCCAGTTTCTAACCCTAACCCTTCCCCTTGAATGCAACGCTAACACTGGCACTGTGATCCCAGCTGTCATTCCCCAGATACAGCAACAGCTCTGTGTGCCTGAGCACGTGTACAAACATTGCCTGTTTTTGTAGTTTTGTCACTTACAGTCCCAAGGGACTGCTACATGGCTAGAAAGCCATACATCAGTATCCTGGCTTCAGTGAGCTGCTATTTCACAGGAGTTGGTAACTACACACACAAAGGAATGGGAGCACACATAAAGGAATAGGAGCACCATCCAACTCCCTAAATGGAAGCGTATCATTCCATCACCGTGCCGGCTGAAYCTGATGCCTATCATAAACACTCAATCCAATCTCCCAGAATCTTGCCACCATGCCTAATATTCCAGGGGAGAAGAATGTTATTATTTTAGGGTGCAAAAAGCCCCCAAACATTTTTTACCTTAAAGCATAGCTTTTGCATAAAGGCATCACACAATTATTTCTAGAAAAATAAAATTACATTTTACATATTTCAGAACCACAGACRAAAATCCTGAACCAAAAAGGTGGTGGCTAGGGCTCTATGAATAGCTCTATGCAAAGCTTGGCAGTTGCAGAGCAGCAAAAGGAAGAAATTTGAGGGGCAGAGAAGGAAGAAGAGCTTTTCAGGAAGCAGTTGGAAGGGATGGAGAGGGGGCTCTAAGGCAATTAGCATCTGCTTTGTAGCACTCACTGAGGTGCCGGCTCCATGCGTACTCACCTTCTCTGGGCAGCCTCTGCACTATGAGGGAGATTTAGAAAAAACAACAAATTGTTCCATGAGCAGCGATTGGCACCTTGGTTCCTGCGGACCTCTCCATCCCCACACTCCCACATACCCAAGGCCAGCAGTTATCCCTGCTCCCACCTCTGCAGGGCACCAGCCAGAAGCAGGGCCCGCCTCAGGCTCAGGCCATGGCTGTAAGGACCCTGCCACCTCCTCCCTGGATCCAGCTCTTCTCATTCAACAGTGCCATTTCACTCCTCACAACAAGAGGTTCAAGAGYCTCCAAAGGTAATTCACTTTCTGCAAGTTCAGTGAAATCTGATTGGAATTGGCCAGCAGATGCCAAGTTATTCAGGAAGGGTCAGAGAAGGTCAGACATACAGAGAGCACAATTACATATGACAGGTGTTCTCAGAAAGCCCAGTGCACTCTCCCCTTCTAGATTATAAACAAAAGTAGTAATAAAATCAGCATGGAGGAGGCTAGGGCTCCCAGCTGTTCTCATCAGAAACTTGGCAATGGTCTTTTAGAATGCCATGGCCAGCCTGTGTCTGGCCCATGCACTAGTCTGAAAAATGTCTTGAAGATTCAATCCACACTATTAATTATTTTGAAAATTGAGACCCTCATCCAATTCACAATTATAAATTTCCATGCAAAAGCCAACACCCTCTTTGGAACAAAAAAGATGAAGAACTGTTTTGAGGAACTAAACAAGAAGAGGGCTGTAGTACACTGACAGAACTACGAGAGTACTACCAACTCCAGCACACCCCATATATTAAATACTGTGCTAGAATATGTATTAGGAAATTAATGTGTATCCAACATTGTATCCAGACCTGAAGACCACTACACCTACAGCATAAATACCACAACACCAATTTTAATATATATATATATACTTTCAAGGTCAGTGCCCCCCTTAATACATTTTAACATAAACATGAGSATGTAATAGGAAATGGGAGAACTGAAAATCAGTGGTATGGGAAAACCAGCCATAAATTAAGGCTTTAATTTATCTAAAATTTATCTTTAGATAAGCTATAAACTTACAGCTACAGGTGGTAATTGACCAAATGAGAAATGTCTGCATTTAAAAAATACTCCAATATTCAAATCTGTGTAAAATATTCCATTAAGGAACTTAGAAAGAAGCTATTGCTGAGAAGTGAAAAGCAATATTTTCCATTGGTGCTCACACTGCTGCAAACTGACCAAAATTACACGCAAACATGAGAAAATCATCAAGTCTGWTTAAGGCCCTTTAGAGCATGAAGCTGCATATCCTGCTAGTCTGCTTTTTCCAGAACATACAGCTAAATCATCCAGGATGCTCAAAGGCCAAAGAAACGTYGGCCAAATGGTTTGTTTAGGTTTCCAATGTGCTTGGTGATCAAACCCATTACCTATTCCGGGTTTAGTGATGTCATGGTAAAAACTGCATGTTTATGAAACTTTATGATTATTCCCTTCTTCTAAACTTAAAATGCACCAGGAACTCAATGCAATTCCCTCCAGAGAGCCAACTGTAACCACATAGCTTCCAGCATGTTATTCTGGTTCTCTTTGATCTGCCTGTGTCCTCTTGAACCTTCTCATGTAGAAATGATGGAGCCTTTTCCACTGTGTTTTAAGAASAGATGTTTTACATTCAAGTTTCAGTGGAGCAGTCAAACAGCCTTTCTAAACCTGAATGATGGAATCAGGTTTCCTACACACCCCTACCCTGTGCAGTGGGGAGCACAATGGGTGCCATTGGGGACTTGGGTGCTGCTGCAACCTTGCCTACCATTACCCATACAAACATCTTTGCATTTCCTTTGCAGCCCAGACAAACCATGTTGTTCATTTGGCCTTATCTACCCTGAACAAGTGTGTGTAGGTCAGAACCAGAGAAAGGAACCCCAACCATTTTCTTTTGCCCACTTCATGCCCCCAGGCAGAGCCATGAGACAGGTGACACAGGTACAGCACAGGAATTGCTCTCTGGGAGCTCGCAGGTTGCAGAGTGAGCTTCTCACATTTCTCTATTTGCACAATATAAAAACCTAACAGAAATCCTCGCTTTACACCCCCAGGGGTTTATCCTTCTTCCTATTTGTTATAACCTGAAGCATCAATTGAAGCACCTGGTACTCCTGCAGGTCCCAAAGTGAGCCAGAGGAGCAGAATGTGGTGTAACCACGCACAGAGATCCTGTCAGCTACTGCAAAGGCCTGGAGCCACATGCAATGGTGTGATGAGCTGTCCCTGCAGAAATACAGTAAGATATGGCAAAAGCAGAGCATTTTGGGTTTTTATCCCAACCAGAAAGAATTTATTGAGAGATTGGTGATTGACACCACTTAGTTCTACTGCCAGTAATAAATTTGTAATACATTTGTAGCTGCCCTTGAAGCATAGATTTAACTTTCTCCCCTTCTTCCCAGTGTCTGTTGCAGACTGTGTGGCACCAGGGATTACACATCATTGCAGCTGGTCTCTSTCCTTCCTTGGCCCAGCAACAATGGCTCCATGCCCCCTTGGATGAGGAATACCCACACTGAAGCTGCAGAACCAGCCAGCTCTTCTATAGCCTTTTTGTCCCACTCACTATGAAACCCCAAATATCAGTGACTAAGATGGATTCCCACGGGTAAGAAGGATGTGACCCTTCAGAGCTAATCTGATAAAGAAACAAAAGTACTCACATCTCACAGGCTCCATTACTAACTATAAAGCTTCTATCTGTGTTGCTCATTTAGCTTCATATCCATAAAGAACATGCACCCTAACACTGCAGCTGTAATGTACATCACTGACCCTTAAGAGAACATTAAGAGATGACAAAAGAGTCTAAGTAAAAATGAATGGTATATTTATTGCCTTAAAAGGTCTTTAAAAACTCCATTTGTAGGCAGAAATTACTTCTGCTTCTTTCAGAAAAACCCATCAGTTTACATCTCTGGAAATTGTGAAGTGTGTTCATTCTRCTAAGGAGCAAGCAGGGCACAGTAGTGTTTGGTTTTAGCTTTCTACCAAAAGCAGCTCTGCTAAATTCAGGSCATGACTCTGCTAGCCAGGAATAATGTTCAGCAACTCAGTTCTTCAGTGATAATTGCCATTTAATGRTAATCCTCCATTTGTGTAAGTTAAGATGCAATATTCTCTCTWGTATCTACAGAGGGCATTTCCAAGACACTCCCACTGCTAACACAAACTTGACAAGCTGATTTGTTTTCAGAGTCACATACATATAGTGCAGTTGATCAAACACACACATGGAGAAAAACGCAAAAATGCTTTGCAATATATTCTAAGTGTACAGTAAACGAATTCCTTATTATTAACCTCATTTAAGTGCTTTGCTGAACTTACGTCTGTGCCTGACTTAAATAATTTCAATACATTYTGCTTTTCCTTTACTTTGGGTACCTTGTGCAGCATTTCTGTCATATTTGTGGTAAAAGTGATTCACCAGCAATGAGGGGAGTAAATGAAAAGGTGTCACACTGACAGAGACAGCAGCATTTGCAATTACCAACCTAGCATAGAAGAACTTCAGATTCTATAAATAAAGATTTTGTGTTGGAGTAAGGAGAAAGGGAAGAAATCTTAACAACACTAACAARGGCCAAGATAAGTACATCATGTACAGACTTTAAAATGTAAGGCATGACAAGAAGTTAAAAAAAACCCAAACCAGTGAAAAATTGTAAAGTCATGGATGCTGGAGGTTTTTAATRCAATGCAAATTGTTCTCATTCTGTTCATTACCACATTATCAGAAAGCAATCTGTGTGAGAGCTGTCACCTCAGAATTGTACTTGCACTCAGTACATTTTACAGACAAAATACATCAACAGTTCTGTAAATAACCCCTCCATCWTTATGATCAATGATTTATAAGAAATCATTGTRTATTTTAAACTAAACAGGCAGCCACAAAGCWGSTTCTGGAACTAAACAGGAATGCAGGAGATGCTGGTATCACATGTACTAATTTCTTTTTGTGTCCTTACCACATTTYCTATTATCATACTTGGTTATAAGCCAAAATTAACAACCCTAATTTTGATTGTCATCAAAATCTGGACTGAAGCAAGTCCTGCCACCCATACTGTTTGCAAAAAACCAGTATTTTCTGCTTTGGGCTTCCAACTCATATGACTGTAACTATACACAGACAGTGAACAGCAGCACTGTGTGTCCTGCCACCACAGCCACAGCTCCTCACTGGGCCAGCCAGGCAGAGATCACGAGGTAACTCACAACTCTAATTCACCTTCATAATGTCCATATTCAAGCAGGTAAACTTGGAGTGTTGATACATACTGCTACTTTCTATTTACAAATAGGCCCTTGCTGCAAGTATACCAAAATAAAKAGAAATCCTATCTAAATAAAGAGAACACAGGTATGCAGTATTTATTTGTGAGTGAGCTACCCATGAAAACCAGATTCCAAACCACAGTTTTCAGCAGTTATAATGATTTGGTCATGTTCTGCAAAACTGACAGAATGTGGCAGAACTTGATAGAAAGTGATTAGCTCTGGCCCATAGAATGGCCTTCCACAAGCTGTAGTGCTCCATGCTTCTGAGATTTGGAATTACAGGCCAGCAGACCATGTACAATCCAAAAAGGCAGCACCAGCAAGGATAATTCCCTGATACATTCCTCAAAAAAGCTTTCACTGTCTCTCCAGGTGCTTCTGGCCATAACTCATGACTTTTCTGGGAGCCAGTATGGCAGAATGAGTAGCAGATTCAGCTGCCATTTCATTTTGTCTTTATTTAAAAGGTTATAAACTATTATTTTCAGAACATCTAAATGAAATTTCATCAAAAAGCATATTGTGCAGTTTATCTGACAAGGAGGTTTCATTTTCAAGAATGTTTAAGGGCATCAAATTCCTGTGCTTCAGAAGCAATTCTGCAATGTATACTTTTCTAATATCAAGCAAAAATAATAGTCTATTGAGGACTGACATTCSTGGTGGATTCTCAGACCTGCTTCCATACTTTAAAGGAAGGGACATTTGCTCACCTTACAAGCACACAATTAAGATTAAACAACTGTACCAGTCATTGCTGTCACATACAAATGCTCAGTGTTAACTGTGGATGTAAAACAAACATTTTATTCAATCACAGCAACACAATAACACAATTTGCATTTCCAAACTTAAAAAACCCCACAGTTCTAGAGGAGGCAAAGATTTTAAGATAAAATCGTGTATTTCCACATATATATCCTTTGATAGAGAAGTTACTCTTGTTACCTGCACTGCTGTACAAGAAGTCATCTTTGCTATTTAGAGYGCTGCAATGTTCCWACTGCTYAAAGAACACTGACAGTTTTACTTTWTCTSYTTTGAGCTTGTCTTTTTTCTACACTATAGTCTTAATTTCCAGAAGATCACTTAACTGAGTAATTCCCAACTATTTTTCTCACTGGCAATCCATCAAGGTATTTCATATAACAGCCATGCCAATCTGTGGATTTTCCTTTCATACTGAGATTTAAAGACCATAATAGTGACCTGGCTCCACCACAATCTCATACTCCCTACTTTTTGACCCAAAACTACATGAACATAGAGCCTGGTAAGTGCTCAGTTCAAGAAGGAGTGAATTTGATGAGCCTGGGGRAGGTAAGTTAGTAAAGAATCAGTTTGCTTCAGCTCTTCCTCTACGGAGGTCTGTACAGCTCCTTGTTTAGACAACTATTTGCCTTCAACATCAACCCTCTTCCATGAATAACTTATCTGCCCTTTGGCCAGGCCTCTCCAAAGGGTCTGGGTATCTTTACAGACATTTTGTCTGATTTTGTATGAAGGATCACTCCCATCCCCCTTTTGATCTGTTCTGCAATTAGATGAACTCATGTCCTCTATAGACAGCAATAAATATRTGCAAATAACATGGGCACTGATAAATGGCAATATACAKTTMATTCTGTAATAACTTCCAAASSTCTATGCAAATGAACCCACMAGCAGCASTTGGARCTCACAGTAATCCCAGTGAGCAGTRCAAGTAAGAAGAGGCTGTGTACATACCACAGTGCTCCCATTGTGCATGTTGTGTGTGTCCTTGTGGGCATGGGCACAGAAATCAATGCATGCAGTGACACCAGAGAAGGGCCGACCATCCTTGGAGCCCAGCCGGCAGTCAGGGCCCATGTGCTCGTTTACCACCTGCAAGGAAAATCATCTACAGATACTTGGGACTGAAAACAAGCGCTTGGGAACCCCACAAGCCACCAGCAGCTTTGCGCCACAATGAAGGCAGCCAGGCAAACTCAATGACTGGAAAGGATGAGTTTTCCTATGAAACATGTAACACCTACAGCTGAATGCCAATGAGATAATCAGTTCAGCCACAGTCAAAATGTCTTGAAACAGTGCAAGCATTTTATTTACAGTATTATCTTCTARGCACTTTTAACATGTGCCCAGCTCAAGGTGCTACTTAACCASCAGTTCAAATAAAGAGGTGCAGTGTATGTAAATCTGCCAAATGTACCAGGATTTATGACCCCAGGCAGGCTGCAGCTCCACCCAGGAACATGCTCTGGGCTGCTGCTTGGATTGAAACTGCGCTGCTACTCAGAGCTGGATGTCACAGACCTACCTGGTTCTGGAAGGCTTCTGGAGCAAGCTTCTTATAAACCGGAGCCACATCAGTAGCTAAYGTTTGCAAATTATTTTCAAGAAGTTCTTCCTGCAGGGAAAGGCAACATTCAATGCTGCAGTTTGCTTTAAAAGAATCTCAGCCAGTTTAAAGCTGCCCAAAAGGTCAGCTTCTATTTCATATTTTATTAATCTAATTTCTGTTCTGCTGCCCTTTGTCACTAACCATAAATGTCTACTTTTGCATGACTAAACCACCAAAATTGTTAAATCAGCCAAGTAACAATAGAGGATACCTGCTAGGTCAAAGGAACCCAGCACCCAGGAACTAATTTCTGCATCATTTTCCATGCACAGTCAAGGAGTGAGATATGTTGCACACAAAAACACAGAAGTAACATCCAGAGGTGAAGTCATATTCCATGCAGAGTGGGGATGGAAGCTTATKGGGCCTTAGCCTATGCTGACACCACATATGAGAAACTCCTAATAGCACTGAACTTCAGCTCTTAGCTCTTCTCACAGAAGTACTTTTCTCATATTGCAGCAGAATTTCTAACAGAAACATTTGTAATTATTTTGTTCTATAGAGCTGCAAAATTCAGGACTTTATGGAAAAACTGTTTGATTCAGAAATAGTATTTTCCTTCCTTAGGCTAAGTCATATAAACACATTATATTAGGTAGGCTTCTATGGCAGTGTCACATTTAAGCTCTTATTTGTAGAAACAATCCCTAAACTCTTATCGTAAGTTTTTGCTTTCCAGGAAAATCACCAACCAGAACTCCTTCTTTTCTGCCAAGGACCAGGCTTGGAGATACAACTGCAGCTTCAGATTTGCACAGTGTATAGTGGAAAAAAATAACAGCTTGATTCATTTTGTTTAAAAAAAACCCACTTGTCACCACACACTGCAAGCCCCAACGTACACAAACACCAGAAGATTTCACTTTTTTCAATGTGATGTTACATTATAAGACCATACTGTATTCTTAACTCCTACTAAACCCAGTCTATCAGCTGTAAATGGCTACCACTAGGTTTTCTGAACTTCAATGAAGGTGATGTATCCTTCATTAACCATCCTAATAGAAGGACATGGATCCTAGGAACCATTCTTACCTGGGTATATTACACCATTAACCTCATCTCACTCCATCCAGTGCCTCCAAATTTTTCTGGATTTCAAGCTGTTTCCTTAATTTGCTCTATCTCCTAGCTTTATGTCATCTTTAAAATCACCAATAGCCAATATTCAGATAAAAAAAKTATCTGCTAGGAAAAATAAAAAAGGCCCCCAGAGCCTGCTCTGACCACAGATCTATGGAAGCTGCATCACAGGAGAGTGGCACAATCCCATATTTCATTTGCACACATCAAGGTTGCTGCCTCTGTTGGCTCCCCAGCATCAGAAACCTACAGAGAAAAGGCATGCACAGAATACTCCATGCATAGCATTATACAGGGGGAAAGCCTAAACCCATTGAGAGTGGCAAAGGACAGGGAAGGAATGGGATCCCTAAAAATGAAAGAATGCCCAATAAATACATTTTTCTATAAACAGAAGGTTTATAAAATGAATTCCCTCTTGAGAGGGAATTACCAAGCAGAGCTGGTTTTGGCCTGCTGTGCCTTAGGCAGGTTTAGTGAGGAGGGATGGAAGGACAGATGTGTTCTGTTCTGCTGGGACAGAAACTCCCACCCTGAACCCTAATGAGGTTTGTGAAAACCCACAAGGAGACAGCATGACTCAGAGGAGACTGGGAGTTTGCATTTGTGCACAAGTGCATGAGAAATGCTTCATGAACTCTTTTAGGACAAAAAGAGCTGGGAGGAATATTTACCTACAGTCAAAAACTGACATCTCTCTTTCAAGGAACAATGGATRTGTCACACTGCATGTACATAGAAAGATTACTGGCAGGGTAACCCCAACAGAGAACCTGGTACCTGAGTGTCCAACAGTGCCTCAAAACACACCACATGTGTAGGAAAGATGTGAGACTTTTATCTAGGAGTTCCACAGGGAATGGGGTTATAGACCCCTACAGTCAGAACAAAACACACTTAGGAGTCTCTCTGAGAAGTATCTGTTCACCAGGCAGTGGTTACCAGGTTACAATAGCTTTGTTCTTTCTTCATGAAAATACTTTCAATGTAAAAAACTAATTTGATTGGGTTTTTTTCAGAGGTTTGTTACTTCACATAAACCATCACTATTTTCTTGCTACCTCCCCTTCACAGCATCATTAACACTCATAAGCAGAAACTACAGTATCATTCCACTGCACTGCATCTTAGTGTATTCATTCCTTCAAAACTATATCAAAACCAAGTTGTCCATAGGAAAAATACAGTTTATTCTTGGTGACAGAGGGGAGCCCAGGCTGTCAGCTGGTCCTGCAGCAGTGGGAAAGCAATGCAATCCCAAGATACATTTTCTGTGCCAAGGCAAAAGGCCTGAATCCCTGAGCTACAGGCTTGTCCTTAGAATAAAAGCCTTTACTTACAAAGAATTAACATTTCATGCAGTTACACAGTGAGCTAAATATGCATGCAGAAAAGYATTAAGAATAATTTAAGGGTATTTAAATAATAGTAATTATTCCACTGAATAAAATCTCAGTGCCATTTGTTCTAAATACTACCATTACAGTTAAAAACTTTGTTGGGTGTGTGTCTGTGGTAAGTTAAGCATACATGTGTGAGAGAGAAGGGGTGGATACGCAGAGATTCCACTTCTTATTCTGAAAATCATCAGAATAAGTATTTTGAGGGAAAAAAAAAAAAAAAGAGATATAAATCTTACTTGTTTAGGGTCATCAGTGAGAAGCCTAAACTTCCTGGGGTTTTTGCTCCTGGCAAACTTACAGCCATTGAAATACATACTCCATGAACAGCCAAATGAGAATGATGCTCCACAAGTTTCTGGGTCAAGTCCTTGACATGCACAAGTACGACTACAAAAGGAAATAAAGACACATCAGGTCAGCTGGCAACAGAGCTCTCGGGTCTTATGTAGGTCAATGCTATTTGCTATTTCTTTTCTAGTACAGAGCATAACAAAGGAATTTTGTGAAATTTGTGACTAAAACAGGTATTTTCTGTTAAGAAAATAYTCATATATAGAAGGCTGACTTTTCTCCTCATAAAGACAGTCTCAACCTCCTCAGCACCCAATTTTGGGACATAAACACTTAATTACAGCTATATAAATATTCCCATGCTTTCATTTTGACTTCTCCAGTTGGATAGCATTTTCAGCCAAGCAAATAGCCCTGCTACAGTTTACCCCAAATCAAATAGTTCTTGTGCTATGTGCAGCAGTACCATTAACTCCAAACTGCTGTGACTTTCCAAGTGGACACTTTTAAAAAGACAAGCACTAGATTCAGGTCCCAAACAGCTGTGAGAGTGTTAAATCTGGGCTACACAAAAATCAGCACCAAGGCAGCTGCAATATATTCTCTAATCAATTAAAGTTCTTTCAGAGGTATAGAGAGGATGATCCTAGTTTTGAGTGTTCAACCTCAGGTCTACTTTCAAAGGTCACAAACCCCCCTCTCGGTGTGTGCACGGGGAATGCTGGGTGTGTTTGGGCAGCTCATCATCACCCCTCGCCTCAGGCATGGCACACACTCCCACTGAGAGCCTTTTCTCCAGGAAAAGCCAGGAACGAGTTGTGACACTGAAATGACAGCCGGCGCTTTGGCATTTTAAATACGTTAATTGAACTATGGAGCTCCCAGACACTGACTGGCTCCACAGGCAGGACTCACTCTTCGTTGAGGGCGCAGCGGCGGCTGGTGGGACAGCCGTACTTGCGCAGGCTCTGGGTCAGCTCCTTGTACAGCGTGTCTGCCAGCAGGTGAGGGATCCCCTCCCAGGCCAGGATCAGGATCACGATCACGGCTGTCTGGCAGTGGTGTCCCGCACGCTGACGGACCAAGCACAGCARCTTCTCCTCGTCGCTACTTCTTCGTATCACCTGCAAGAATCATTTTCATTATTCTCTGCTAAGCACAGGCACCACCTAATGAGCTGCTCTTCTCTGGGACGAGCACGAAATGCTGCTGCCCAGAGTGTCCATCTGCTGGCAGGATTGGGACAGCATCACATCATGTCTGGTGTAAAACATRATTTTGTGTTGCTTTTTTACCTGCAGAAGAAACAGCAGTAAATTTTACAGGAGGAGTAATATTTTAGGTGTTGTACACAAACAATAAAGACACATTACAAGAAAAACCTCTAGAAGGACAACAGATCCCCTGAGAACCTAACATTACCTTGGAAAAAAGCAGAAAACACAGTGCCAAACATTGCAGAAGGCAAATACATGAAAACACACTCCAAAAGCACACATAGGCAGGTGTTAGGACAGCTACCAGTGTTACAGATCAGTACCTAAGATGGTTCCCACCTTGCAAAGAAAGATTAGAAGAAAACTATGAAACACTGTGCTCTTAGTGAGGGAAGCAGTGGGATTTTTCAGAACATAGCCCTAGACTACCTACATTAAAGTTMTTAGAGTGCTGAAGTTCGTAGTAACTTCTACGATATACAGAACAATCTTGTCAGCCTTATTCCTCACACACAGACTAACCAGTATGGAACACTACAGCACACCGCTGAGTAAAAATGGGAAAAAATTTCAGTTCTACTCCCACATTGTTAAGTTTTTGCCACAATCTGAAACAGTTGCATCCAAGACCACCAAGAAATCCATTAAAGCTAGGTAATACTAGAACATAGCCTTTGAAAACAGATTTATTTATTCATCCAACATGTTYTAGCCAGCACAGCCTGTACAAAGGTGTCAACACTCCAGTATGAAGCATCAAACACCACAGGCCTGGCCCTCTGCGACACAACAGAGGCTCTGTCCTCCTCAGCCCTGTCATACATGGCACCCGTGTGGCTCATGGCACTCCATCCTCCTCAGCCCTGTCATACATGGCACCCGTGTGGCTCATGGCACTCCATCCTCCTCAGCCCTGTCATCCATGGCACCCGTGTGGCTCTTGCTCTGTGTGCACAGGCCCTGCACTGTGGATCTCTCTGCCATCTCTGTCACCATCTGTCTGCTCACCCCGGCCTTCACCCAGCACCCTCTCCATCAGCAGAGCTCCCACAGTAACACACAACATCTATGGGCAACATCTACAGAAACAGGAGGGCAACCGTTCACTTGCTCTTTGAATACCTCCAAATATGTGAACATTTCACTGATGTCAAAGCTTCTTTGCTGCCACATGTGCAGGTGTCATTCATATGTGACCCCMTAGCCTGATCACCTCTGATTACTTAAATCATTTGGAATCATTGAAAGCAGGAACCAAAGCACACTTGCAAGTCATCTGCAAATGAAAACGTTTGCAACAGATGAACAGTTGGAGAGAGCATCTGTGCAGGCTGAGCAGGAAGGAACAAGCTTCAGCTAATTTACGTCAAGAAAGAAAGTATGGCCCTTCTAAAGTTAATCATATCTTACAATCAGCCTTAAGCTTAATGAGAATATGAGTAAATGTCTCTGATAGACCATTCCTCAAAAGGAGTCTTGGCTGTGACTCCCCAACAGTTCAGTATGGTTTATAAAGAAAGAAAAATAATCCAGCTCATTTACATTTAGGTGAGGTTTACAGAAATCAGTTATGGCTAATACACAATACAGGTTATTCATGTCAATGTGAGTTGTATATTCCTGAGGCAGCACAGTTCCTTCAAGTCAGAATTTACTTGATTTTGTTACTCAGTGTGAAATGATGCTTTTATTCTTTTTAATTTTTTTTTAAATTCTAGGCTGTAACTTCAAAAGCAGAGTCTGGTACTGTACATCACTAGGTTGCCCTTTTTAAATTCTCATATAGCTCAAAACTGGAAACAGAGTCCAGGAAAAATGACAAGTGAACMCAAAGAAAATTTATAGTTTCCTTTAAACCAAGACCATACTTTCGTAGAGTGAAATGCAGTTGGAATTTGCTTCATTATGTATATAGCATAGAATCCAATACTCTTATTGGACCCAAAACATTTTACAGTCCATCACCTTTGAGGCCACAGAGAAGGGATTTATGAGTTGTGTGAATTTMATTTCTGTGGGTCAAGTTACACCATGTGCTCACCCAACTCTAGAGCCAGAGTGCTCCTGTCCTGCTGTTCCAGAGATCAGGCACTTCTCTCACCTGCTACAGTCTCAGAAGAGCACACTTGGCACCAGAGCAGGGCCAGGGCCAGGGCCAGTGCAGCCAGAGCTGGAGCCATGCTGCTTTCCCACAGGAACTGATGATTCCATCCACATGCTACTCCTGACATTCTCAGACAAGTAATAAACAGTCTCTCTTGTGTAATCATAATAAATCCACGGCAATGCCACACTCGATGTACAGAAAAGCAGTTTTAAGCAGGACAACTGAACCCTGGAGTGCTTCCTCTGACTGCGAACAATGCAGAAATCAGTTGGCAAACCTTGTGTCCAAAGGTTTTTGGTATTACTCATGATTTCTGTGATGTAGTTAACAACAGTGATAAAGTAAATAATTTAATGCCTCAGTTTGTTCAGTCCCTAATGCATTTAAAAGGCATGAGAAAGTAATCATTTGTTAAGCAAAGGAACTTAAAAGCTACGATTTTAGAATGGGAAAATAAAAACCTTTCCCCTGCAATTACTTTTCCACACAAGCTAACCATGACTGACTGTCTGACTCACACTGAAAAAATAACATAATCAACAAAACAGACTTGTAACAAGTTTGCAAAGCATTATGTAACCATTAAACACAACAAGCAATAGCACAAGACGAAACAGCTTCAAGTTGCCTCAAGGAAGGTTTAGATTGGATATCAGGAAAAWTTYCTTCACAGAAGGGACTGTCAAAYCTTGGAGCAGGCTGCCCAGGGCAGCGGTGCAGTGACCATCCCTGGAAGGATTTCAAAGACATGTAGATGTGGTGTTTAGGGACTCAATGRTCCTAGAGGGCTTTCCCAGCCTAAATGATTCTGTGATGCCACCGTCAGCTTCTTGAAAGAGGCAGGGCCAGAACACACCTAAGCTCAGTTCAGCAAGCACTCAATGTCATCACTGCTAATATCCATCGATACTCCMACATTAACAATGAATTATCTGTTTCAGCTGCTACACAGGACTTGTGGAAAGCAGCTAAACCTAACAAACTCCTCCACAAAKCTCCACAAAACTGACACCCATTGGCCCTGCTCTGCCAATAACTGGGCATGAAGTGACAGGCTACCCACCCCTTCACTGTGTGCAAATGGGACTGTATCTAGGACAAAAACTGACGTGGGACACAGCCCTTTCCAGAGAGCTTCCTTGGAGCACACACACCTTTGGACACAGGAGCTCTAGAACCTTGTAGTTGCTAATTTGGGCAGGATGCTGAGTTATTTTGATGATTTTTAAACCCAAGTTTTGTCCATCGCTCCAGTGCTGTAGTTGTGCACCCACCACCTCTACATTCTGCATTCCTATCCAGGTGTCCCTGCTGATGTGTACATTCAAAGGAAGACAGCAACTCAAGTAATTCATTTTATCAGCTAACCCAGATAGTGTCAAACTGCAGAACCTGAGAATATGGGCAAGCTTTCAAGGTGAGCCCAGCTAGCCAGCTCAGACACAATYAACAGCTCTTATGGCAGCACACCAGAGCTAAACCTCTGTTTCTACAAGCCCCAAAGGTCTAAGCTTACCCGGTTTTCTTACCAGAAAGCATGAGCCAAAAGAATGACATATTGACTGAGGAGGTGTCATATGCAGCAGAATTTGCTCCAGCAATTTAGCAACRAGATATGGGATAAACAAGAGGAAAAGTTAAGATTTTTCACACCCTTGCACGAAAGGAGAGTGAAGAGACAGAAAGGATGCTAAAAATTGAAGAGTATAATATATATAAGTTCAGAGGAGCTGAGTGCCCAGGCTCATCCTGACCCTGAGAGCAGTTGCCTATGGATGAGCAGCAAAAAAGGCACTGGGATGTGGAAATGGTTCTCAACAAAACCAGGCACCTTCCAGTGACCCACCAGCAGCTCAGGGACTGTACTCTCTCTCCCAGTTTTTCAGGGATTTGCCTTTTCTGCATTTCTCCACTCACTTCTAAATCTATGTAGCAATTTACCACCCACTACRTTCCCAGGAAAGTTTAATTACAGATTATGTGAAAGAAAAAACCATTACCTTTCCTTCCTGCAGAGCTCACTCCCTGCCAGTGCCCTCTAGTTTTGATGGAGGATGAGACACTGCTCTTCAGCTCTCCATGCCACTGCAGACTTGAGAGAGCCCTGCTTTTCCCCTTCCCTCCCTGCCAGGCTGGCCAGTCTGCACCAGCCTTTCCYGTTCAGCTGTGCTTTCTGGAGCTGGGGAACCAGACCCAGTACCCCAGCCTGGGGGGAAACACGCTTTCTCACAGAGGCAGAACTACAGTCCATGTTTTCTTTGTGCCTCCCAGATAACCCTCACCAGTTTCTTTTGCTGTTTCCATCACAACTGAACAAGCTGATGTCTAAAGAACCTTTATCTTAAGCACTAACACCCCAGTGTCCACCACKGTGTGTGTGAAACTACAACACTGCTTTTTGTGGGACTTGATATTTCTCAAGTGAGTTTTAGCTATTATTTTAGTGGCCATTTGTTCTGGATTGCAAGTCCTTCCTGCTCTTCACAATGCCTGTCCCTCCTCTTCATTATCCTGAACAGCTTTGTATCATCAGCAGTTTGGCACCTCTGTCTCCCACTTTTTTCAAACCATTTCTGAATGGTTCGCAAGGAACAGCACCAGTAAAGTWACACTATTAATAAAACCTGCTTCAGCTGTCCAAATGCTTGAGTTCTACTTCCTTGGCAGGAGCTCTAGAACGAGGAATACGTACATTGTGAATAAAAATGTCCCGAGACATAAGCCAGCCTATCCAAATTAGCACGTACACCACTTATGTGAGTAGCTAAGAGTCAGCCTGCAGAAGCTCAGTGCACCAGAT